CATCAAGTACCCGTAAATGTTAGTGCTGCCCTGTGCTTCCATGTGGGATCACTACGTCTCTGTCTTGCTGCAGCATATAGAGTAGAAGCCACAGCCATCTATTTTCTTGAAGGAGTCGATTTCCACTTACCAATGTGTTACACATCTGGCTTTCAAGAGATGGAATTTGACTATCTCCTAGTTTTAGAAGTTCTTCCTACTTTCTCCAACCATAGTGAATTCTACCTTTAGATCAGTCCATACATTTTACTGTGATTATCTGTATCTGTTTGCTCCCCTGCCCAGTTTTCTCCAACTCTTCCTGAGACCTATGAAATTCTTCATCTTTTTCCTTCACGCATGACCAATACAAAGAAAAATCTGCTCCTTCCTCTTAGTCTGATCAGACATTCTCTTTAGCTTTTTCAAAATTAACACTGAAATTCATAGGCTGGAGAACAGAAAAGGCAACTGCCCCAGTGATCTCAGAAATAATCAAAGCTATTCCATTTTGATGGACTTGTATTCTTTTTCTCTCATCCTGCAGAATATTTCCAGTTCTTGGAAAAGGAAGGACAGGGAGTTGTTTCCTCAGCTACTTTATTCTAGAAGACTGCTAGATGAGCCAGATTTTGTAAAAGCAACAGTAATTTCAGTAGAAAGATTCTTCTTCTCCTGTGAGTCTGAAACTAATTGTATTTTCAGTCAAAATATTATTTCACATTAAAAAAAAATAATAGCTTTTTTACATAGCAAGCATTTCGATATCTATTGTTTATTATTGTTATACATTAATATATATATAGACAAGCATTACGCTTTAAAAGCACAGAGACATTAGTCTATGGGAAAAAGGCTTTGAGACAGTGGGATCAAACATCATCCAAAACAAACCAGATTTCAGCATGTTCTATTGGAGGCATGATATGTTATCTAATGATCATAGTTAGAGATTAGCACATGTCCTTCTGGAAAGATGGATTTCTCCAGCTGTCAGATTGAAAAACTCAGGCCTAGAGAGATGATACTAATGTAAAACTGTCCATGAAAAGGACAGAATGCTCATGTCAATCAGTTCCTGTGATCCCAAATATTCATCATAGGATGCTTTATAACAAGGTCACAAAAAAAATTCATGACAGCCCAATTCTAGCTGTAAAGATTGTCTCATAGAAAACCTCCAATTTTTTCCATAATCAAAACATAACTCTAAAAAAGTGTTAAGGAGTGATGTTGCTCTCATAAAATGAGTTCCTACATGCTTATTTTTGAAGTGGCTGAAAACAAGACATTTTCCCTGAACACCTGAAGAAGGAATGTAAATTGAGAGATTTCAGAGGGAGTATGATCTTATTACTTTCCATGGAGGGAGTATTAGTAATACTCAGGCTGATGAGGGAGCAGACTTAACACCATACACACTGCAATACAAAAACTCAAATGCAGGGAGCCTCTGACTGCTATGTCAGAAGCAGCACAGACTGCAGAGAAACACTGTGATTTGTCCATAGGCCCAAAATATAAGAAATGGTCCCACTGCACACAGTGTGCTCCTTGCACAAAGTCTATCCATGCACTCTACAGAACAAGGAGACTAGGACAGCTGGGAAACAGAATGCAGAAAGGGGAACTGCCCACAAATCAGTCTGCATAAATTCAGGCTACTGCCACAAGTTAGCATCATCCTTCCTAAGAAATCCTATAAAGAGAATAAGATTTTAATTTGAATATCTCAGATTTTTAACAGAAATAATTTAAGCACAAGTTATAATAAAAAAAAATATATATATCTTCATCTCTTCTTCTCATCTTGCTATCTTTTCTTACTCTCTCTTTCATAGGTAATACTAATATTTGCCTAGTCTTCATGTTATATTGAGTATCTTGAAAGTGAATAAGAAGGCCAAGTACTAGCCATAAAGAAACCAAAGTGTGAAAACACAAAGCAAGAAGAAGTACACAAAGATCAGTTGTGTTGCTCATACTGCCCATGTCCCAATTCGCTCCACTTTACCCTATGCCTTCATGGTCTTTTCTGCTGAGGAAAACAATGTTACACAGCTTCTGGTTTAAAAGCCATGCTGACGAACAAAAACCTTCATATTTCACGCATCTGATGTAGTGACGTGAGTACTGAATTTCTGTTTTGCAGCACTGCTTAACTTCTTTTTGAAAACACAACAGACATTACTGTGGATTCCTTCCTTACAAGGAGAAATTTGAACTCTTCTTTTTACAACAAAATCTGAAACTTGAACAAAATAATTCAGAATTTTTCTCCTGGTCTTTATAGCCAGGCACATTGTGTTTTACAAACTGTCTTATTTAACATAAAAAAGGGGTCTTCAAATCTGCCCCTTATCACTTTGATTACTCCAATGAAATGTCCAAGGAATAAACTTGGACACAGAATAAATCTCATTTAATCAAATGTAGTCCAAACCTAACAAAAATGTGATTAGTTTGAATTCTTCAAATATTCATACTACTTGAAAGATTTTGTCTCTTCATCCCCGTTAAAATCCATGTCTATTTTAAAGAAAATTTCAGATCAGTATGTATATCTACTTCTTGTTGCCTGCCTCAGAGATTTCCCTGAAGCGAGACTGCTAGTTGTTTCCTGCCTGGCTGCATAAAGTTATCATAAGGATACCTTCTCAGACCAGCATGATGTTGGGGCTACATCAGAGGTTCCCAACAAGCAACATGAGAATTCACTTCTCACACATTTGTCAAGGACACCTTTTAGTCTGATCTTTAGGCAGATCCTACATAAAATTGATGGTGATTCATCTTCATTGCTGATAAGCATAAGTACTTCTGGTGCTATAAAAAAAGCTACAATTCTTTCCATATGCACCTTCTTATTCAAGAGTGCCAGTGACCTGGATGCACGTACATCTGCATCTTTAAATGTTTCAACCTTCAGGAATACTCACAGCAGTAAAGAACTAGGCCCAGATACCTATTTTTGATATCTGTAGAGGATGAACTGTGACTTAGAGAAGAGGCTGTCAGTGAACTATACAACATGGCCGAATGTCTCATGTCTGCATTTCTACTTCAGAGGGAGGGATTACTTCTTTTTAGCAACACCACATATGTCTTAGCCATATAAAATAAAGTACAACTCCCTGTTTTCCATTTCATAGAGATGAAAATTCTATTCTCCCTTCTTAAAGGTTTTGTTTTTTTTTTTTTTGAACTAAAAAACAAGGATGCAGGGCTTTTTGCTCTCATTGCACTTAGCACTACCACCCCCACGCAGGAAACGTGCAGATAGAAGTGAGATGTGTGGGATGTTATGACTACAATGATCCATGTTCTTGAATTCATTCATATCAGTGATTAATTTTTCTTATAGTTACAGAAAGCTGCAAGCTAAAGGCATAGAAGAGCATTTGTAAAATCACAATGAACGTGGCCAGAAGGGAGGGAACATGTTCTGAATGCTAACTCACATTACCTCCATTGCTGCCTTCAAAGCTCTCCTTAATCTCTTCATACTTACAGTTAACAGCTCAATCTACAACACCAGTGCCCCTGCCACCTCCATTCTTAAGCTTTTTGTTTTTCTTGTACTCCTACATTTCTGATTTGTTTCTGACTCTTGCAGAGCCACTGTGTTCTTGACTCATCCATTACATCAGACAATCCTTTAGGCACTGCAAGAGACTGCACAAAAAGACTGCTGGAGTATATCTGGAACTGAGTGAAAACAGTCCTGGGCCTAATTTAGATGACATTTTACTAATTATGAATAAATACACTATGGAACCACCTTCATGAGAAGGTCAAATTACACTTTTTTTAGAGGTTACTTAGTCTGCAAGTTCAGAAGAGCATCCTTTAGACATGTAACTCTAAAAGATGAGTCTGATCTTAGCTTCACTTACAGAACCCAAACAGTTCCTTCACAAAATGTGACTGGGAAACCATCTCACAATTTGAAGTAGAAAGATATTCATAATATTGTTTTCTCATATTTGCATGCATCAGGAAATTGCCATTTTCACTCAAAGGTAGGAGACACTGGGTATTCCATCAAAACCCTGTCCTGCAAAGTCAACAATGTTATGCAACTTGTATTCCTGTTCAGAATAGAATTATTTCTTAGATATAGAATACTTACTGTTTCTGTTTTAGATATTTACTTAAGATACGAGATAAATAAACCTTTGTGAATTAAAACTGCCTATGTTGAAAGCACAATCAAACAGCATGTCCTTATCCCTACAGCTAACACTGTGTTGGGTACTGGTGGTCAAACAAGAAGCTATGCTTTGAGATGTCCTGGAATGACCTAGCTGGAAAGAAAATACATTTAATCAAGCATTTTAAAAATAAATACTTTCTTTTTTTTTTCAAACATAAGAACCACCATAGGCTTTCTGATTGTAATTCTGAGTAATTAGAATTATACGTAAGATAACCTATGTCAAAATCAGAACTGTATATGTGCATCATAGAAAGTATTAACCCATCTGAATCCTTTCACAATATGGCTGCAAATAAGAATAAAAAACATGAACTCTACAGTGTAACACACACGGAAACTTCCCAGCCAACACACTGCCTATTTGAAGGAAGAATGCAAGGTAAGGAGACAGTCCAGAAGCACATCCCTTGTCACACGTGTAAGCTCAGCAACACCCTCCTGTCCTAGAAAAGAGTAGCTAAGATTTCACTCATGGCACAGACACTGCAGCACTTTGTATTTTCAGAGCATAAAATCAACTTGTGAAGAAGTTGATTCATATGATAATACAAAAAAGCCAGTGCCAGAAAAAGGTGATCTCACTAGAAAAATTGATGTGGATCTCTCAGCCACATACCACATTTCAGACGTCATGCAGTCATACAAAATATTTTCAGTACTCTGGAAGTTCAATTAACATCTCAAAATCCATCCATCATCAATTTTCATGAGGATGTATTACAGAGGACACTGAAAAGTTTTCATATTCCCAAAACTGGAAAAAAAAAAAACAAAAAAAAAAAATGCAAAACAAAAATCCATAAGTACATGTATTTATTAACATTGGATTTTTAAATGCAGAGATACTGTTATTTCAACTATAGGCTTACAATTCTGCTCCATTGTTCGTGATGCCAAAACAAAAGAGAAAGAACACCTTGGTCTATTGCCTTTTGATCAGAAGAGTCAAACTCTGGATTCAGATATTTATGCACAAATCTCATTAATAGCAGAATCAATTATATTTGCACATGAACAAAAAATATGCCTCAAAAAAGCACTAAAAATTAAGAACTTTTGCTATCTTAACAATCTATTAACAGAGAAAAGCTATTAGCATACATGGAGAAAATATATATATTTAGGATATTAAGATGAAGTTCTCAAAATCCATGTCACTTTGATTGCTATAACATTGAAAAACAAATGAGTTTTTTAATATGGACAACCAGTTTTGACACAAATAGAAATAGCTCTTCCTCAATTCCATAGTTTTATCTAAGTATGCTTTAGTGAATACAGTTTTCAGAATAGACCTTTGTTATACCTGTTCTTTGTTTTATCAAGTTGAAAGCTGATTTTGAAATCAGTGGTAAAGAAGCAATTTGCTATCCTTACCTATTTTATATGAATATCAAATATCAACTGTGCTCTCATTTATTAATGTGCATAACTGGTGCAGCTCAGAGCAGAACACGCTTAATTTGAAAACAATTACTGAAAAATATGGTTTTATTTTGAAAACAATTACTTCTCTTAACTGCAATCTCTTGTTTGTAATAAGGCAAGCACCAAGAGACACGGGTAATAGGGAATTCTTTTATACTCATTAGTAACGTCTTCTTTCTTCCTTCATACTAATAACAAAAGCTAATGCTAAAACAGTTATGAAGAGCCAAACAGATTTTTTATTTCCATTTTAATAATAAGATTTTCAAACGTAACTTTTATCCTTGAAAGTGAAATTCCCATTTCACATCTCCAAGTTCCACCTTCCAAACCTACAGCTGGAGTCCTGTGTAAATAAAACAGAGGATCCAAAGCAAGACCATTTCCTAGTTCTAGAGATCACCTCACTGAAGGGCAACAAACCTGAGCCAGGTCCTAAAGGAATGATGCGCTCACCATCCTGAAATACCGAGGCTGAGTTGGGCGCCAGTTATCGACCAGGGGAAGATCAGGTTCATTCTCAGCATTCTTTGATAAGCTACGGAGCTTTGCCATCTGCAGGAGAGCAAAATCAAACTGTAGTCACGGAAATCCCTTGGGATCAAATCCGTTAGCCCACTAGTTAAACAAAGAGGTTGGCCCAGATCCAGAAGCAGGGGATAAAGCGTCCTTCAAATTTTGAGGACGTTGTTCACCCTGTCACCACAATAATCGTATGCACCTTGTTTTTGAACCAATAATATTCTTAGAAATAATGAAGAGACAAAAACCTGGTCATATGTGAACAGCATTGTGAGAAATTAAGTACCATCATGTATGTGTTGTTTACAGAACTGACAACAGCTATGGAAGTAGTAGAAAGTACTCAGAATACAGCTCAGAATATCCTCAGAAACGGCTTTGGGCAGCCTGGTCTAGTGGTTGGCGACCCTGCACACAGCAGGGGGATTGAAACTAGATAATCATTGTGGTCCTTTTCAACCCAGGCCATTCTAGATTCTACGAATATGTGACTAGAACAGCTTAACAAACTTCTACTATTAGCTCATGTCCTAATAAACTTCGACTTTAACACCACCTTAATGTCTGACTGTTTACCAGCGACTAGAATTGAAAGGTATTAAAGGGTGTTAAGACTAAATGATAAACTAATTGATCACTTCTGTGATGTGTCTGTAGCAGACCATATATCCTGCTGCTGAGACAAATACATTATTAGTAAAACCTGGATAATGACCTAGTCAAGATTTCAGATGGACTGTAAACAGGATCTGCAGCTTCACTTTCTGGTCTTTTTTTTTTTTTCTTTTCTTTTTTTTAATCAAGCTGTACTCGTTTTGAGAGATGCCATAAAAATTCTGCCCATATTCTTCAAAACCATGTAATTCTTTTCCTCTACTGCTCTCTGATTTTCACAACTATACACCCACTCACAGATACATTCTGTTCATTCGTTGCCACTGCCATGTATGACATTAGACAGAAAGCATATCAGCTGTGATTCACACACTTGACATTTCCCTTTCCCTGGCTTACTGTGAAGAGGATGCATATACTTTTCCTTGTACACCTGAAAACGTATCCCCACGCACATACAAGTTAAATTTCCTCACAGCTAGCTTCAGTACGCTGATGTATCTACATTCTATAGCGCAGAGTTCAAGTCTTATGGAAGCAGAACTTCTTTCTGGGCTGTTAATCCACATTCACTATGCCTCTCTTCATTCTAGCTTATAGGCTGGGCCAGCTCACAGATCTCAATATTGTCCCTCACTGCACAGCTTAGAAAAAGCATGAGCAATGATGGAATCACATTTACACTCAATATGCATCAGATGGTTATTCATCTGAAACTAAGTTTCCTATTTCAAATGAAAAGTAATTTGTATGGGAACAGTAGGATATAAAAATAGTTCATCACTTTTGTTAATACTGAAAAAATACTGCTAGAGGAGATACTAGTGGTTTTTATTATGTTTTGGAAGATGTTTTGGGAAAAAGATGTACCTACTGACTAAAAAAAAAATAATATATCCAAGCTAGTTCCAACCCTCTGCCATGGGGAGGGTCATCATCCATTAGATCAAGTTACCCCCTACCAACTTGGCCTTGAATACCTCCAGCTACATAAGGGTGAAAAAATGAGTCTGCAATTGGATAGAGGAATTCCAGAGTTAAATCCTACCCTTTAATGAAAGTTAACCTGAACAGCCAGGCTGCCCACACTACATCTATCATAGAAATTTCCGATGAACTGATTTTTCCCGCAGAGTACTGTTTCTCAGTGACTGCATTTATCCTTGTGGCTACTACCAGCTGGCTGCAAAAACATCCAAGTGATGCACATGCACATGCACTTAAAATAAATACTAAATAAATAAATACTGCAATGACAGCACACTTTCCAGGATTAGAAGTAATTGGTAACGTGACTGGCTTTTTTTATTAATACATCATATGGACTGCAGACACTCTGAAGTAAGAAGTCTATTGTACTTGTATATGGCACCACATGCACATTGATAATTCTGCCTGTAAAAAGTTTTCTCAGGAAAAAGCCAATGTCCCATCTCTGTGTAGAAACTTTCTTTGTATCTTAAATGCTCTTTCTTTTTTCTGCAGTAGGACCAGTTACATGGCCTGCCTGTATATCTCCCAAGACTCGCTAACTTCAGATAAGCTGGAAAAAGACTACAATTCAAATTGATCAGTGATCAAAAAGCCTTCTCAGGGAGCTGGATCAATGACATGATTAGCCATCCCTTGCAAAACTCATTTTAAATTAGAAATGCTCAGCAATGACTACATCTTCTCCAACAAAATTTGTAGTTTGTCATCTATGATACAAACCTCAAAGCAGATTTGTTAGTAACCAGTCAAAGCATATCTGTATTTTTCACACAAGCACCAGCTTTGAAATATTCTGTGTATTTTAGTTTTTGGATGGGCAAAGAAACAGAAGATGGATCAAATAAATAAGCTGTGAAAATTATACTGTAAGTTAGATGAGTACATTACTATGTTTCACCTCTTGCCACCTAAGGTTCACATCATACCTGAATTCTACTCTTTGAAAGATAAAAAGCCAGATAAATACATAGAAGCAAATAGATTTTGTTGTGATATATGCCCGTCAATGAATGCAATGAAATTCCTTATCACCTGATGATCTAAGATGAAAAGTTATGTGTCCACATACAGTATCTACATAACGTGTCTGTCACTTGATTAATGTTCAACATCTCACTGGGCTGAAATCTTAAAAATTGTGCTATCACATCTGTTAATTAGAGGAATAATCTCAGATTTAAAAAATTAGTACAATCACTGGGGGATGAAAAAGGGCATTCAAATGTATATAAATGAGAATGAGGGGGAATGAGCATTAACACAAACACAGTCACAACTGTTGGTGTAAACCCAACAACAATCTTTAACTAAATGTTTCAATGTTCCAATTTAAATGGTCAAGAACACAGGCTAATGGCTAGAGCTTTCCAATATTGGCTCTTGGGAAATGCAGGGTTTAGAGCTCAGTGTAAAACAAAAGGTGCAAACCACATGCAGCTCCTTCCTTTACTATTAACAAGAGTTAATACCAGGAGGACACAGGGAAGCAAAAAGAGGACAGCCTCTTTTCTTTAGCTGATGTCACAGAAGGTCTTTTGTCCATGGGAGCAATAACTTTCTATAGTATTTACATTCTACAGTAATTACTATAGTAATTACTGCTTGCTATCAATCCTGCCTCCAACTGTTATTAACTCTTAACATTTCCATTGTGTTACAACTTCCCAGATTTATAAAGCACTCTGATATCTGCTCATTTAAGCCCCCTTTCAGATGGGGACATTGAAACAATCAGTTTTATTTTATTATCTTGGCTCATGATGTCAGAGGCGGATGCTGGCGACATGATAGAAGGGGCTGAACCTTCTGTCAATATTCCATAACATTCTGTTGGCAAGTGACAAATTGCAGCAGAGGGGCAGTCTGACAAAATGGCGTCTGACATGTAAGTGAGTATGTAGCAAAAGTGTGTCACTGAATTCCTCCATGTGGAAAAATTGGCTTTCACTGACCCTCATGGACATTTGCTGAAGTTTATGAAGAACAAGCTGTGGGTGTGAGCACAGTGAGGTCGTGGATGGTGTGTTTCAGCAGTGGCAACAGCAGGTCACCTCTGCTAATGCAGATTCTTATAAGCATGGTCTGAAGGCTCTTGTTCATCACTGGCAAAAATACACAGTTAATGGTGGTGACTATGTTGAAAACTACTGTTTTATAGATAAGATTTGTTCTATCTAATACTGTTAGTGTGTTCTTTGTATCTGTTCTAGTTTCCATGGAAATAAATAGGAGGCATTACTTTCAGAGTGACCTACATAGTTTCAAAGGCATTCAGTTCTTTACTGTCCTTTTAATCATGGAACTTCTCACAGCATCCAGTAAGCAGATTAATTGCCAACAGAATCAGATCAGCTTAGAGCATGCAACCAAAATGAAGTGGGTAAAACATTATTTGCTGATGTTTACCTGGTCTGAGCTGACTATGATAGGCTCTCGAAGAACAATCCAAGTGATGCACTCTTCACAAGGTGGAGTAGTAAAAGAACCATGGTATGTCCAATAGTCATGAGATTTAGGGAAAAGAATTGAAGGATCAAAGTTTGGAAAAGGAGCTTCTTTCCCCTTTAAAAAAACAACAACAAAAAACAGAACACACAAACACAAAAAAATCAGCAGCTCTAGTCAAGATTAGGAAAAGATTCAAGCCTGGCATTTTAAAAAACAACATGACAGTTGTACATTAAAAACACTTGCATGGGCTGAAAAAAGCACACATCTAAACAACACAATCACAGAATCATGGAGTTGCCTAGGTTAGAGAACATCTTAATCATCAAGACCAACCATTAACTTGACCTATCAAGATCCATCACTAAACTTTGTCCCTTTGTCCATGTCCACACATTTCGAATAATGTCACAGTGCAAAGGCAACTGGACTGAATAACCCTCACAGATAGAGAATGATACAACTCCATGGTACTACTTTTTAAACTTGACCTAATTCATGTAAAGCAGCATTCAGTACCAAAGTGTTTCACTCCTTTCTGTGCAGAAATACTCTCTTCTTTCTGGCCTGCTTTCTCATGGCAGTTCTGCCTATGTTATGAATTGGGTTAGGTCACCATACAATGAAGTAAGATGAATTTTAGATTTTTCATATTTGTGCTAATAACAAAGAAGGCAGCCTAGCAAATGTATATTAATGGTGAGATTCTAATCAAATGAAGTTTTCTGAGACACAGATGTCTAGTTAGTGGCACTTTAGAGAACCATTAAGCAGACTATCTCAAGGCAGAGTGAAGTATTTTCAAGGGTGCCCTTTCTTCCTAGCTGTCTACTTCAGGATTAAGACTGCATGTCTAGTTTTCAGGAGAGTGAATCTTGGTGAAATGATTCTCGTTTACACAAAGTGTTGTAAGGCCCATTAAAGCCAATAAAGGCTCTTATGAGAGCAGGAAAAAAACATTTCTTGCTAAGGAAAGTTACCCCTGATTTTATTTACAAGTATACTCTGGCAATGTTGCAAAGTTCAATCTGAAAACAACAAAGTTGTGCTTCCTGATGTTTTTTTATCCTGAGAATTCCCAGCAATCTTTTTACTAAAACAGTCCAACATTGTTACCTTTGTTTTGATAGCATTTATTTCTTCAAGAATTCTTTTCATCTCTGGTTTGGGTGTTTTCCCTACCTGCAAGGAAGAAACAATGAGCTATCCAAAGAGTTCTGCTCATCATTTTTCTTCTTTTTGATACTCTTTACTTGTGCATCCAAACACAAATCAACTATTAAATTATAATGCATCAAGCAAACCTATAACTCCTACCAGATAGGATACATGTCCCGTCTGTACCTTCTGTCTGTACCCAAATGGGTATTGTGATTCAAATGAGGAAATGACATCAGCATAGAAGCTCAGCATTGCAGATAATTTTGCAATGCAGTAATTCCTTTTGACATTGTATTTTAGCTTAACAAGGGCAAAGAACTCTTCAGATTCAAGCACAGACTCAGGAAAAGTTTCACTTTAGTTTGAAACTGAGACATGATCATATCTACTGTTGACAATTGCTGATCTCAGAAAAATACTGATCTGTTTTAACTCTGATATACATTAATTAAACAAGACATTGAAAAGGCCTGTGTTTCAAGCTAAGACTTCATGCCTCTAAAAGGATTATTTTTTTTTAAAAGGATGAGTTACATGTATAGTCTATGAGTTGGTTTTGCCTGGGAAAAAGTTCATAAATAGCCAAGAAGCAATATCTGTCCTTGAAATCAGCCTATGACTAGCACAACAAGCAGCTGACTGCTATTGGTCCAAGGGCCACTACTGACACTGTGTCCCCAAAGCAGGGGAAAATACATCTGGATTTACAGCTTCCACCAGCCACATAGTGACACTATAGCTGCTGGGACAAAGTACTGGATACCATTTGAAATAACATGACTCATACTCTGTAACTTGAAAAGCATGCACTACTGAAAGTCAAGCCCTTCAGTGTGATACAAACTCTAGAAAATATATTCAGAAGGTTTTGTTTTTTTAACCCTTCAAGAATAGAAAACTCTAGAGTAGCAGTACAAAGGAGGAACAAGAGCTCCTACTTACTTGCAAAAAAATAGCCAAAACAGCTATACCATCTGTTCTTCTTACAGCATCAAGGTAATTACTGTATTTTGGATTCCAGTGTAATAAATGTAGCTGAAAACAAAGAGATATAAAAACAGATCCATTAGTGAGTTGTAAGCCACTAGAGGCTGCATTTAGAGTTCTTTATGAGAAATTTTGGGGTCACAAAGAATGAGGACTAGCCTCCAAAAATTAGACAATTGAAACATGAATTATACTAATCACATTATCATTGAGAATATTATTTTAATTAAAAGTAATCAAACACCTCAGTATATAAACTGCAAAGAAGTAGTCTCATCTTGAAACTAAGGAAGAGAAAAGACATTTAAGTAGACAGGCAGAATACACATGTATACCAGAAATGATCTACCTATGTGATTCATTACAATTTTTTACAAATTACAGCAATTTTAGCAAAGAATTCATAATAATATATACTCTGTCTATTATTAATCTACAGTTCTTATCTTCTCTTACCATCCTCAAGGCAGAAAACCAAAACATATTTTCTTATTTCTGTGGCCGCAATTCTTTACTTTAACGAAGACACTACTCTTTCAGAATAGTGTTTACTAAGTTTGAATTACTGAGAAGCAATCCAATCTTGATGTCCTATGTTTCAAGCCACAATGGCTTGAAAACATGGAAACTTTTATTTCTCACAATATTTTTCTTTTCTTGCATTGTGAATGAAGGAATTACTTAAGCTAAACTCACAATTATAAGAATCCATGGATGAAGATAAATGAAGTTAGACCTGCTCAAAAAGCAGACAAATCTTAGTTCTTGCCCCCCCATCCTCCCCCAAAGATAATGACAAATATTACTTTATACCTTATTTTAAAGTAAGAAGCGTGACACTTACCTCTCCTGCATATCTCACTCCATTCACAACATGCTCAGAGCCATGGTCATCAGATGAACCCCAGTGAAAGTGAAGCTGACGCAGCCGGTAGACCCCCTGAAGTGGCCCACCTCTCAACACTGTAATTGACAATCTGCATCAGCATTAGATTCAGACATGTTTCAACTTACTTTTAAGAAATGTATAGAATTTTAAAAATATTTACATACAATTACTGTATGGAGGTTCTGCATTCGCAGAGTACCATCTACATTTTGGAAATTTGCAAGAGCACTTCAGGCAAACATTTTCAGCCACAAGCACTTACAGTCAGCAAGTGTCTAGGCTTTCATTATAGTCAATTGAGATCATTGTTTTAATTCCACTGCATAAACGTGAGCAGCTGAGATATGCTGAAGGTGTCTGCACAGGGCTGGTAGATATGATACAAGATCTGTAGAAGAAATGTACACTTCTAAAGCAGCACCTGGAGCAAAGCGATACACATTAAGTCATCAAAAACAGCATGAGATACCTATTGTTTAGGTAACTGAATTAGGTATCTAATCAGAACAATTGAGCTGCTAAAGTAATTCTGCTTGCTTTAAGCAGACACTCAGCAGATGGTGATCCGAATTGCTCTCTAGACTCCATTGATTCAGTGTGACTCCACCTCCTGTGAAAAAGATGTGAGTTTAGATACGTAGCTCACAGAGGACACCTAAGTTTAGGTGTCTAAATGTCCTTCTAAATTCTAATATTTACCTATGTCAAAGCACACAAAAATATCCAGAAACTCTACAGACTGTGCCTGATACTGCAGACAATGACTAATTTGTTTAAAAAGCTAAGAAAGCATTGATGCTGCTTCTGTTATAATGGCCACTTCTCCTGGCTATGGTAACAGCAAATGAGCCAGAAAAGCAGCCACTGAGAATGCAAGCTATTGTCCTACAAAAAATTTCAGCCTGTGACAAGCAACAGTCATTCTAAATAATCTCAACATTTACACAGCACTGGAAGCAGAGAGTTTGAAAATAACTCACACTAAATAGGGAAGAACTTCTCAACATTCATCAAATATTAATTAATATTCAATTCTCATTTGCATTATTTAGAGATAAATTAATAAGCATTTCATTCAGCAGTCCTCAGGAAGAGGTTTTTATAGGTTATAGAAAAATATCCTTAAGTCTGGAAAGATAAAGAATAGAATCTACGGTCACCTCAAGAAATAAAGGACTAAGAACATAAAGAATACTTTTTACTGAATGTTAAGAGCACGCTGCTGTTCTCCACAAATGCCTTTTATTTGTCCCACAGACATGCAGTACCATGACTAATGCTGATACAGATACGGTAACAGTAGCAGCTAATAAGGCCATCAATTCTCCATTAAAATACATCTGTAAAACCAAATAATCCAGCTTAAGACCAAAATGTGCCATTATTTACACAGATGGGCCATCAGCAGACATTTTTGATTGGGTATTGTGTGAAGCTCTGCGTTACCTCATGCCAACACGTCTCTGCTTCACTCCTCTATAAATAGACTAAGTTTTACTTAGGACATTTTGAGCAGACAGAATGATGCAAAGGTGGTGATAGCTATAAATCAACATTTCTCCACAAACAAAAAGGTGGGTTTTTTTCTGTTTTATTCCAAGTGAATTGGCCAAGAAGGCCAGTGGCATTCTGGTTTGTATCAGAAATGGTGTAGACAGCAGGAACAGGGAAGTGATTGTCCCTCCGTACTCAGCACTAGTGAGGCTGCATCTTGAGTACTGTGTCCAGTTTTGGTCACTACAAGAATGACATTGAGGCCCTGGAGCATGTCCAGAGAAGAGCAATAAAGGTATGAAGGGTCTGGAGCACAAGTCTTACAAGGAATGGCTGTTGCTTAGAGTGGAGAAGAGAAAGCTCAGGGGAAACCATATTGCTCTCTACAACAATATGAAAGGAGGTTGTGGGGTGGTGGGGGTTGAACTCTTCTCTCAGGTAACAGCAATGGGACAAGAGGTAGTGGCTTCTAGTTGTGCTTGTGCCAGGGGAGATTCAGGTTGAGTATTAGGAAAAATTTATTCTCAGAAAGAGTGGTAATGCACTGGAACAGGATGCCCAGGGAGATGGTAGAGTCACCATCCCTGGAGGTGCTCAAAATACATGTGGATGTGACACAGAGAAACATGTTTAGTGGTCATGCTGGGAGTCATTGACAGTTGAACCAGATGATCTTGTAGGCCTTTTCCAACCTTAATGATTTTATAAGTGTGCAGTATAAAAAAAAGAAATACATTGAATGACTACTTAAGTAGAAATTACCCCAGAAATTACTCCTATGCTTTACGAATTGTAAAATATAATAGTTGCAAGAATTAAGTTTCCTAATATCTAGAACAATACAGTCCAATATCTAGAACAGTCCAAAGGGATGTCTGTACAGCTCCAAGTTAACGAAAGGAATCTTCATTTTGGTTAAACATGTGGCTTGCAACATAAATTCTAAAGGTATCTTCATTCTCCCGGGATTTTGTTTTCAGAAAATGCTAATAAACTCACACCAATATACCAGTTTGAAAAAATGTATGAGATCAGTTCCAGAAAAAAAAATCTCGCTTTTTACTTTGTCCTTCATGAGCAGCATGAGATAATGGGCTAATGCATTGCTTCTCATTCCCACTGTGGTCAGCTGTGCAGGTGCTTGCCCCAGAGAGAGCACAGGAAGATGCAGCTTAGGCCAAATTATATCTACACAAACACCTTCCCTGGTGGGTGCAAAGACATCCTATGGAAGTGGAAAAACATAGGGAGCACCAAACAGAATCACAGAATCACCAAGGTTGGAAAAGACCTTCAAGATCATCTAGTCCAACCAACTACCTATCATCAATAGTACTCACTAAACCATGTCTCTCAACAAAATCCAAATGTTTCTTGAACAAACAGACTCATGAAGCCAGTTGTGTTTACAAACAGGGCATGAACTAACTGCTCTTACAAGGTTCACCATTCTCACATGCTGCCAAATCCATAAGGTGGATTCCACAGTAAAATGAAATTAGTAAGGCATTACTGCAAGACAATTGAAAGCTGTAGCCTCAGAAGGCCCTTGGCTGTTCAAGCATTTATAGCTTCAACAGTAATGTACAAGTCCAAAGTCAACAGAAACTCACTTCCTAAATCCCCTGAACCCAAGCTCTGCACTGCTCATTAACACTCAATAACTTCATGAAGACACTACAAATGATAAATGTGCTAAGCCCCAAAGGAAGAATTTATCTTTGCAGTCTTTAGCAGTATGCAGTATACCATCCAGTGGTATGCAGCATAGCTACCAGGGTACACAAGCATTGGAATTAAGCCGTGCTATTTATATAACACCTATTGACTTCTTCTAGTGTCATTTCAGTACCCAGGAATTAACCAAATCTACAGCATGCATGGATACGCTTCCCAGTTAAAGTTACTGGATTTTGTCCTTGTTGTAGAACAAGTCAACAAATATATGTTTATTCATCAGAAGTTGATAATAAAATCTTACTTTAACAGAGATAAATGAGATTTCCCACAAGGTGGTACTCTTAGAAATGGTGTCCACAAGCGCTAGTCATCCTAAAGAAAGATAAGCAACAAGCTCTCACTATTTACAGTAACAGTCTGCCTTTGATAAGAAAACAAGAGATTCTGCAAAAAGCATCCAGGCAGCCCTATAAAAAGTATGCCTGCACAGTGTACTCCAAGCCCTTAAATGCCAACTATCAGAAACTTATTAAAAGGATAAGCAGGAATCCACTTTGGCCAGTGAACTTCCACAGACTATATTAAAGAGATAACAAAAGCACCATTTGACATAGCCTTAACCTATCTTTCTCCAGCTGCTGGGTCTGTGCTCCAGAAAAAGAGTTACACATCTTTACTGTCCATTCAATGACTGAACATTTGACCTAACCCGTTGTCCATAGAAATGACAACTAAAACTGCAGTCATTAGCGCTAAGAAAGTTAGAAGCTGCAGAACTCATGCAACATTATGATAACGGTTCTTCCAGTTAGATGGTTTCAGAATGCTCCTCTGGTGCAAATATTTTTGGGAATTCTAAAAGCAAAAAGACTCCGCTAGTAGAAATAATACTGCAGTTTTCTTTCAAAACAGAACAGTTACCGTTGGATCTAAAAGAACATCTGACTTGCCATTCCAGCCAATAAATGTGACAGTGGTGTGCACCTGCTAAACAGGTAGGCTGCCAAAGCACCCCAGAGTTCTGGTGTGGGGTTTTCTTGAACCACCTTCTTCGACATAGGTACGGTAAGAGAGACAACTGAGTCCACAATGATCCATTAACTTTCACAGACAAGCAGCAGAGACAGAATACAGCTCCAAAAGCAAGTATCTGTCAGAAATGCCTGGAGGCATTCAAGGCCAGGCTGGATGTGGCTCTGGGCAGCCTGGTCTGGTGATTGGTGGGCGATCCTGCACATAGCACGGGGGATGAAACTAGATGATCATTATGGTCCTTTTCAGCCCATTCTATGAAATGTCTTTAGTTATAAAGCAGATTCTTGAAGTAAACCAATATTCATAAACTGCAGGAGTAGGTCCAAAGGTAAAGTGATAAGGCCTCTGCAACATAAAATGTGAGTTACATTGGACTGCACTTTCTCCAGAAAATTCTCTCCAATAATTTGAGCTTAAAAAATTGTCCAAATGGTGCATATTTAAAGTTTTCCTAGCAGAGAAAATACAATGAAAGTAAAACTCTGAGAGATCATTTGCAATTTACTTAGCAATAAGGAAAGGTATAGGTCTATTTCATCCACCACTCATGAAAATCTAGATTAAGTACAGACACAAGTATGACTGCTCTAACCAAAAAAGTTACAGAAATAAAAGAAGTCTTGTTTACTGGCTAACTCATAAATAATTCAGATAGAATGATAAATGAATGGATAGGTAGGTAGAATGGTTTTGTTCCAAGGGATTGAAATATTCAATTTGTTATCATTGTTATTATATAGTCTTATAGTATGCAGCAGCTGGTTATTTTACTGGGAAAATAAGTTACTATAGATATCAAAAGAAACTTAAAACTTGCTCAAGTCAGTAGAAGCATGCAGAGTGGAATTTGTACTGCAATTAGCACTACATTAGAAAAGGAACACCACCCACAGACTGCAGATAATGGTATAACAAAAAGGCCATAACAGTAAACACTGAATGTTTCTTGCCTTCAAAGACATCAAAAATACACCTACTTTTCTTCCCATGAGTCACTATTTCTGAGATCAGAGCAGAGCAGTTACTGACTAGTTTTCTGAAAAAACAAATTCAGCACATTCCAAACCTTTCTGCTCTTTCTAGAAAAAGTGTATGTATTGCACTACCTATACACTCCCCACCATGCACAACTTGAGTAATTGTAAAAGTAACTGACATTAATGCAAGAGATGCAACGACTGATACATTTGATGCTGTTTCAGCATGTAATGGAGATAGTAAAAAAAAAAATAAAGGTAAGCAATGGTCACAGAGATCTTCATATATGCCGCAGCAACATGTTGTTACTAATGTGTAGTGCTACCTGACATTAGGAATCATATTTTATACAAATAACAGTAAATATTCCCATTTTGCTACAAAGTTAATCAAAGACTTCATACTCACTTCTGAGTTTTGAGTGTATTGACGAGTTAATCTTACATAATACATTTTTATAATCAGTTTTCATGAAACCCAAGTCATTAAAAATCCAACTTAAATTAGTGCATGTCGATATTTAAAACCAACAAACTTATTAGCAAAGTTTCTCCTACTAGTTATTGCAGTCAATTTTAATTATACTGTAGTGGCAAATGAAGCTTATAATATAATTAAATTTAAGTCTGTGAACTGCAGAAGACAAACTTAATATTTTACCAAAATGGTAAAAAATTTTTCTTACCAACTCGTGCTATAAATAACGCAATTCTGTTGATCTCAATAAAAGAATAAAGAGAGAGGTATGCATTTGATTTTTCCCTTTTATCTCAGTACTAAAGCAATTTCATACTTCTTTAATGTAATGTTTTTTCCTTTGAAATATAGCCAACAGTATCAACATGAAACTTCAGTGGTTATGCCAACAAGCCTAATACTTCTAGCACCTGTTGAAGAGAACAGATATAACTCTTCTAAATACATGGTCCCACTAACTCTTAAAAGGTATGCATTATATATGCAGCATACACTTCATCTTGTAGTAACTGTGAGTAATAAGATTAAAGATTTTGGACATCAGAACATTCTGGACACTGAAGATGAAGCACTGGAATTCCTCAGCCTTCTAATTAAGATGAAATCTCACAAATGCTAAAGGGCATTTTAGCTGATTAAATAAAGTGATTAGGTGGCAATATCTGGTCTGTTACTGCATTTATTAGAAATCACTCAAGTACAGTTTTCAAATATTGTGACTTCAGCCAAATACACAATTACAGATGTTCTTTTCTGCATCTCAGATAGCCTTGTATGGAATTCAGTCCTCACAGGCAAAGCCTGGACTCTGTGCCCCCTAGGAAGCAACACATCAGCACTGGCCTTTGCAATTGCAGAAATTTATCCTTCACCTTAACTCATTCTGCATCAAGCTTTTCTGCAGCTCTCTTCATTCCTTAGGATTTTACTTACAGACTTCAAAAGTAGCCTCATACCTTTCCTGTCAGATGTGTGGGACACTGAAGGCAAAGAACTCAGCATGCCACATGCAGGCTCTACACAAGGACCTTCTGACAGCCATGAGCACTCAGAGTACTCTTTCACCCAATTTGAGAAATATACACTGATATACAACAACAGCTCAAGCTGAAAACAAAACTAACCTGATCTATCAAAAGAATCATCAAACACAACTCTGCAGGTTTTCCCATTATTGAGGATGGTCTTCGCTGCACCAGGATCATAACTAGCAAACCAGGGCAGCAGGGAGCGGTCATAGTGCACTTCTTTGTTATTGATCTCAATGGGGGACTGATGGCGTCCTTTGGCAGTAGGGTAATTTTTGTGCCATTGATCTGGTCCTAGAAAAAAAATCAGAGAAACATCATGGAAACCTCTTCTAGCTAGGTACAAATTACATTGTTTCACTATGAATGAAAGGTTGGCACTGCTGAGCTATGGCAGTAAAAGTATTAATAAGTGGATTGCTAACAGCAGGCTGTTAGTCACGAGCTGTCAAGAGCAGCACGGTGTTACGAACATTTAGATCCCTGTAGCTGGACTATGACTGCACATTCTTCATCTGAACCAAACTTGCATCGCAAACTGCACTTTTTCCTTACTAGGAGCCAGACAACACATCAAGAGGAAACCAGAGGTGGATTTGGACCAAAGTCCAGCAGCGCCCAGAAACATGATAGGATACACCACTGACCCCGCCATGACAACACGTACTCAACCGGAGACAGACAAAGCCAGCGGCAGTCAGCGGCGGGCAGCTGTTAGCGCCGGCCCGGCACGCCGCCTGGCCCCGCGCCCTCTCACCGTTGTCGCCGTCGTAGCCCCACGGGTAATAGTTGGGATTGATCATGGCGTCACTCTGCCCCCTCGGCGCCCCTCGGCAACTCCGGAGGGACGGCGGCTTCGCATCACGGCGGCTTTTTATACGCTCCCGCCAACTCCATGCCCTTCCCCGCAGAGAGGAGCAGCGCGGTCCCGAGCGCCGGGGGCGGGGAGAGCTGCGCTCCCTCGCCCCGCCCGCCCTGGCCCCGCTGGGTGGAGCGCGGGGGATGGCGGCGTGGGGCAGCGCGGCGACGCGTGGGAAGGCCGGCGTCGCTCCTCGGCGTCCTCAGATGCACGGGGACGGAGTCGCTGCTCTGTGCTGGGAAGGCCACCCCGGCGGCAGGTGTGCTGCTGCCCGCCCCAGAGGGAGGGGGATGTGGAAGTGTGTGAAACAGCTCCAAACTGTCAAAGAGAGCAGTCCAAATCCTTCCCAGATTTGGACAGCTTCAGGACAGTACAGGGCTGGAGCTGTAGGATCCATCGGCTCGGTTCTCCCTCTCGAGCAGGTGCTGCGCTTCACCTGAGTGCAGCAGTACAGGCCTGCCCTGCTGCTCTGCCACCACGTTTCTCCGTGGTTGTGAGGCTCTTTATGGCTGTTTCTGGAAAGCCTGTTGTCTGTAAGACTGCATCTGGATAGATCAGGCCAGGTGTCCCCTGAGGAGCCCGGTTAGCTGTGTGCTCCCCACCTGCGTGTGTTACAGCACAGATTCAGAGGTCAGCTGAGGATGAGACACCACGTCCAACAGCTTCTGTGCACAAGCAGTCTCACAGATTCACACCCGTCCCCATAAAATTTCCACATATACAGCTGGAATCCAGCATGGCTCCCCGGCACACTGCCTGCCAATGTTAACATAAACAGCTTCCCCACTGCGCCTCAGTGGAGTTAGTTATCCCTGGCCTTTATAAAGGGACTGCGTCCTACTGCAAGGGTTCTTAGTAGAAATCCTGCCTGCTCCAAACAAAACCTTAATTGTCAAATTAAGCACAGGATCTGTTTGTTTTGCTTCGGCTCTAATTCTCTTTTCATTTAGCAGGGTGTTAATGCATCAAATTGCACTTAAAATTGTGAGCATACTTAGCATGCGCACGCTCCTTCGGTGACTTGTGTGTGACACGCAGAACTCAAATGGCTTCTAAGAAATATTTGTTGTTCTGGCACAACGGGAATTATTAAGAGAGTTAGATAAGACAGACATTAGCACCAGTGTTGTAAAGTGAACCAAGGGACTAATGAGGCAGCAGAAAAGACATTGCACTGAAAGGGGAACTACTCTGGTATAAGCTTTAGTAGGCATTCTGAATAAAATAATGTTAATAGTAATTAAGTGGAAATTACATCTTTCTGTACTTATACCTCAGACAGGTATGCATTAAGAAATGAAAAGAGTGACTGAAGCTGAAGAACCAAGTCAGATACAGATATGTGTCACCAAGAAACAGAGGCAAGATAATTGCTGAATGTTTGGAGGCATCCAAAGTAGTCCATTAGCTTTGTAATAGGAAGGTGGGGACATGAACAGTGTACACAGGAACTATGTATTTATGCCCTACAGGGCACATACTATTTCCTCCTTTTGTTACTCCTGTTTCACCATCTTCTCACTACCTCAACCCACAGAGAAATCTCCAGGTCCAATGCATCTTCTGGTGACTCAGAATATATTTCCCTGTCTTCCAGATGGAGATACATTGCAAATGTAACCACAGACCCTATGAAGTAGCCAAGGGCTATGAAGAGAACCCTATGAAGAGAACCTCTATTTCCAGTCCAGCATTCGATCACCTGGAACCTATCTCTCTTCACATACTCCAGTTTGTCCGTGTATTTTTGTTAAAACAGCTTTATGATGCTTCTTAAGGCCAAATTAGAAGTAAGTCAGGGAAACCACAATGAGAAGATGTTTGGGAAGAAGAGAAAGAAAAGAAATGGAGTTCTGTTGTATGCATACAGGCTCATGCATTGAAGCTAATCAATGAGTTTCATGTGCCCTGTATAAATATTTCCCCAACCTCCTTTTTTTTTTTTTTTTTTTTTTTTTTTTTAACAAATATGTTCCCTTCACCCTCTCAGGAATCTCTCCTAGGTCACCATTTTCTCATAACGTATTGTTAGGGCAGAATAAAACTTTGAGACTCTTAGGTATCAATCTGTGAATTTGTGATTTGTGCACTCACAGAATAACTTGTGGATTAAAAGGGTGCACACTGTGCCCCAGCAGCTCTCTCCAGGTTGAATATTCACTCCTGTACACTTCAGAAAGTCCCCAAGTAGAATAAATTATTTTGATCTCAGTAGCAGAAAATCTCTTTTTCTGCTGAAAGAAAGCTATTATAAGTCTTCGCGGGGTTTTCTCATTGCTGGACACGGTCTAAGTTCTCTGCACACTACAGACAAGAGAAGTGTTATAAAGTAAATGTACAGATGGCATTGAAAACAAAAATGACAATTAAATTTAGTCTAAAATGGAGGCTGAAACTAATAGAGCCAAAGGACATTCAGTATTAGACAGTTACATATCCCAGTCTGCTACACACCAGATTACATTATGCACATTGAAGTCTTCAGTGCAGAGATACTAGATTCAATTAAATACTTTTCAGACACCATGGCAATAACTGCTTTATAAAGTGGTAGGAGTTACAGGAGAAAAAAAACAACACAAGTATCAACATATTCTCTATGTGATCTGCATTACACTCTATGGCACAAAAAAAATGTTTTCCCCCAAAATATGCTCTATTCATGTGCGTATTTATAGACTCTGTTACATCCTAGGATTATTATTGTTGCTATTTACTCTTTATGTTTAGCAGTAACAGTCAGAAGACATATCATGCTATATACCCCACAAATACATAATAAGGCCCTCTTTAAAGGCCCGAAAGACAGGTGGGAAAAAGGCAGGCAGTCAGGAGTACTAAGAGTAGCTCATAATTACAAAGCAATTTAATGACACAGTGTGATACAGGATTCCAAGATTCTTGATGATTTATCCAAGGCACAGATCACTAGAAATTTGAGTTAAAAACAAAACACAGAAAGCACAGCATGAATCCACATTGCTTACATATCATGGAGAAGTGCTCAACAACAGTATCTTCTGTGTCAGTATACTAAAAACGGTGGGAGAGCAGATCTGCAATTGTGAGGATCCATCAACCAAATCCTTGATGCTACTGGTGGTGATAGGGACAGAGATACAAAAACTACTTCCAGAAATAGATAATAGGTTGTCTTTGCTCATGTTTCATAACGCACTTCGATAGAGTGGAGGGGGTTGCTATTTCTAGCAATCCTGACATAGAGATTCCTCCCAAATTAATTTGTTTAAACTTTCTAAGGGGATCAGGAATTAGTGCAAGGTCCTTGACTGATTAACGGACTATCACCTCTGTATATTGTTTCCATCTCTCTTGATTATTCATTTCTGCTTTGCTTTGCTTTGTTTTGTGTAAGATAGAAAATAATTAGTGTGTGTGGTCTCTCATTTTGATTAAGTACAAGAGTAATTCCAGTTCAAAGAGGCAGAGGCACATAGCTGGCCAAGAGATTTACGTTGTACAGTTATATTTGCTTCTCATACATTTGTTGTTTGGACTGTATTAGTTTATTATAATCATGGTTAAAACCGGGGCTTTGTTAGGGGAGGTGAAGAAATGATTAGAAGCTTATTCTGAATTTGTATCCAGGGCATGCACAGAACTGTTTTAATAATAGGATAACTACATTCATAGTATCAGTCTAAGAATTGCTATATCTCTCAGTAGTATAAATCTATCCATACTGACAGTTTACTGAAGACATGAGAAAGAAACCAAGAAGCTATGACATTACATAGATACATCAGAGGGTCAAATTATATAGTCAGGGAAAATGTGTAACATTGCCAGTCTCTTTCTTTCGTAATAAAAAAAGTGAAGAGTGGGATATGTCTGGTATTTTTGAAGTTCCTGTTATGAAGCCTAGGAAGAACCAGGCCCTGCTGTGCTAGCTTATTAAACAACTCTCATCCAAAGAATTTTATGAATTGCATGCCTTGTTTTCAGAACTAAGTAAGGAAAGAAATAGAGAGATTGATTAAGAAAATCTACTGTTGCACTAGAGAAATTCATTCTTCCATTATGAGGCAGATCAACTGCAATTTGGTGTAAGATAAGACCTCTTTCATTACGTGCTTCTACTTATAACCCAACACAGGATTTGGCTGATTCATATAAACACTGATTTATATTGCATTTTCAATTCAAGTATTTTTTCCCAAAAAAAGAAAATCCCAAATATTAGTATGTACTAAGAATCATGGCCAGCAGGGCAAGGGAGGTGATCCTGCTCCTCTACTCTGCTCTGGTGAGGCCTCACCTGGGGTACTGTGTCCAGACGTGGAGTTGTCAGTACAGGAGAGACATGGACCTGTTGGAATGCAGAAGAGGGCCACAAAGATGATCCAAGGGATGGAATATCTCTCCTATGAGGACAGGCTGAGAGAACTGGTGCTGATCAGCCTGGAGAAGAGCTGGCTTTGGGGAGACCTGGTAGCAGCCTTTTCATATCTAAATGGGAGTTACAAGAAAGAAGGGAACAGACTCTTTAGTAGTGTCTGTTGTGACAAGACAAGGGTAAATGGTTTCAAACGAAAAGAGGAGAGATTTAGATTGGATATAAGAAGGGAGGTTTTTTATGATGGGGGCAGTTGAAGCAGTGGAACAATTTGCCCAAAGAGGTGATGGATATCCCATCCCTGGAGACATTCAAGGTCAGATTGGACCAGGCTCTGAGAAACCTTATCTATCTGTTGATGTCTGTGTTCACTGCAGAGGAGTTGGACTGGACGACCTTTAAACGTCCCTTCCAACTCAAGTGATTCTATGATTCTATGATATTCACATTTGTAATACTGAATAGTGCTTCTGCATGAGACCGAGCATGGTAAAACACCCATTCAGTTCTGCTTTACCTCCCAAATAAAGTTTTGGTATAGTATTTACAAAATGGAATAGAGCAGAAAGTATAGATAAGAGATCTGTGGGAAAGTTATCCAAATTATCTGTTCTGAGATTGTAAGGTTTGAGAAAACAGCACATCTTTAATAGCAGTTTCACAGATTGCATACAGAGCCTTTACAAGTGAAATTTGATGGTAAGTATACATACCAGGCTTAAGCAAAGACAGTGTAAGTGCTGAAAGTACTTTGTATAGTTTGGGGATCACCAAATGAGAGCAAACAATTCATACTTCATAAGAACTGGTATCAGCTGTTCCTCAAGAATACTGGCAAAAGATACAGGTACTAAAAGAAAGAAAGACACACAAATACTATATTTCCTCTACCTTTATTGAATGTAGCCTACCCAGAAAACTTGAAAATAAAGTGATCACACCAGAAAACTGGTATTAAGAAGTGTTAAGTGGAAAATATTTTCCAATCTGTCATGTCATGATTATGGCTCAGCACAGTTGTGTGTTTAAGGCAAAATGTGTATAGAGTGGTTTTCGTATTTTATCTTCAAAAACAATTGAAAACACTGCTGATGGCAATGGTGTTATCTTTTAAGAGAGTAAATGAGCCTTTTTAAAAGGATATAGTCAGAAAATGTCATCTTTGTCTCAGATTCATACATTTGAAGGTGATAAAAGCCCTTTTGCTCAACTGCTGTTAAGCTACAGTGCTACAGGTATTTTACAGTAGCCATACTGTTCAGTAAATCTGAAAAATGCACGTACAGCAGAGTAAAAATACGAGGGAAACAAGCTTACAGTAGGGAGACATTTTAGTACAAACATTTTTGTGTATACAAACTAGTCTATAAAGACAACCTGAGAACTGTTTTGAGATAAGCACTACATAACCGAATTGGCTAAGCATTCTGACATCATCTTCATGACATTTCTCTCTCTGTCTGCTTGGAAGTAATGTGATAACTAAAGAATGGACAGCACCATAGCATAAAATACCTCTGCAGTTTTCTGCAGATCAAATAAACAGCCAGCTTGTCACACCAGCTAATGCTGCTCAGCTATAAACTGAATGCTTTCCCTATTCATCTTCTCAGCTAGGCATATTTACAGGTAAATCACTCGGTGATTTATTGGCTGAGCAGGAAAAATCAGGAGAAATAAAAAGGAGACAGATATGAAGCATTTAATGTGTGGCTGAAAGAATAGCCTGGGAAGGAAGGGGAATGGGAGCTGAGTTTGGGAAATGGATAATGGAGACCAATATGAATTCCCAAGGAAAGCAGAAAGGAGACTGAATAGGAAGGGCAGCAGTGAAGACAGAGATGGAAGATGATTTGTGGCACAAGAATTATTTATATGGCAGAAGATAGCCTGGTTGCCAGGAGTCCATAATATGGAGAGGAGAAAAGAAAGATGGCACACAGTGTTTGCGAGTGGAGAAGTGAGAAGAGCCAGTGGCAAGGTCAATAAATATGTCCAGTAAAAGCAATAATGCACTGGGACAATCCTCTAGTATGCAGAGTCTCTCCATCCTTAA